AACAAATTAAAAAAAAAAAAAAAAAAAAAGAACAGAACTTGAACATTATTGTATTTGTACCTTGAGAATTGGAAAATCAGACGGCGGCGACGACGGCGGAGGAAGGCGGAGGAGGGTGAGAATGTATGAGTGGGTTTGTGGGGAACATCTGACTCCGGGGAATGATTTATATAAGAAAAAACGAAGGTGGGGAAGTGGGAGGCAGAGAGAAAGATAAAAAAAAAAAAAATAATAATAAAAGTTTTAAATTATTATTATTTTTTGGTGGGTTTATTTATTTTCATTAATTTAGAGGGAGGGAATTGAATTTTGAGGAAATATGTGGCAGAGAGTGTAAATTTGAAAGAAAGAGGGGGTGGGGGCAGGGAAATGAATTAAAAATTGCAGGTAAAATAATTAAGGAATTTAAAAAGAAAAGCCAAAGGGTATTTGCTTTTTCATTAATGAGAAATTTAATTGTAATGTAATTTTTACGTCGGCGAAACATAAATGACAAATTTTATTATATTAAAATAAAGAAACCAACCCAATTTCTTTTACTCCCAAATTTAATGACAGCCGCCAACTAAGATTGATTGGATCGCAATATCCGATGAATTTATGTTTTTTTCTTCCCATTTAATTCCAAAACCTTTTTAATTACTTTTAAATTAAGTCAATATTTTGTTCATTAATTAGACATTATATATTTCTACGACATTAATGATTAATAATTCAACTTTTTTTTCTTTTTTTTTTTATTGTAAGTCAAGAATTAATGAAATAAATGTGGAATTTATAAAACATAAAAAGTTCTAAAAATAAACTTGGATTTACATTCACAACCCCTCAATTTTTTTATTTCACGTTTTGACCTTTTATTTTCTTTCTTTTGACAATTTTGGCAAGGAGTTGGAATTAAACATTCTTGCATGTAAAAACTTTCTTTATTTACTAATTTCACAGTTTTTTAATAAATAATTTACTGCTTTTACTCTAGGTAAAACGATTGACATGGATTGATATTAATAATTTCTTCAAAATATAGATGGACCCAAGTTTTAAATTTTACATATCATATTCATTTCAAAATTAAATTATTTCTTTTTAATATAATTACTTTAATATATATATATATTTTTTAAATAAAAGTTAAAAAAAAATACTATTTTTGATACTGGTTATATTTTCATAACGTGCCCAAATTTAGTTCTTGTACATTTTCTATGGGTGAGTTTATAGTTTACTTTAGTCGATACTTCTCCAATTTTGGGCCTAACCAAGACCAAAATCGAACAGGACCGATCAGTTTGATTTTGCTCGGTTGAGTTCCTTCTGGTTAAGTTTGTTCGATTGTGAGTTATATAAACTAAGAGACATCAATCCTACAATATATTTCAATAAAGATGCGAAAAAAATGTTATTGAAATTATCAAAAGATATTTTAATTTATGACACGTTGAAGAAAAATGAAGTTTCATTGTTATAAATTTGGGATGGATTACAATTTAGAGTAGCTTAGAGTTATTTTATTTCATTAATGTATTTTAAGACATTTTATTTACTTTTGGTTACATTTACATTAGGGTTAGACCATAAAGTATGAATGTTACAACTCTTGGAATTCCTTTAATAGTTTAATTTTGAGGCTATATAAAACCATGTATGTTGTATCTATAAGTAGACGTAGCATTTGTGCTCTATTTAGCCAATGACTAAGCTTTTTTTGCAATTTTATGTAGTTTAAGTTGCATGTAGAATCATTTAAACTCGAGATGATCAATCTTGTTTGTGGAGTGATTCGAATCTCAAACAAGTGTTATTGGGTTGAGATATTTGATCAACAAGGATTATTCAAGTTAGACATGATTGATTTTGCTTGTGGAATGATTCGAATCTCAAACAATGGTCTTGCATTGAGACGTTCGATTAACAAGATAATTCGAATCTTACTCCCTTTGTAGTGATTTCTACGTATTAGTAAGTCTTTTAAATTTTGACCCATTTTTTCAATCTTCAATTATAAAAGATACTTTTGTAAAAGCTAACATTAATTCTCCTTATTTCTCTTACACTCTTAGCCGTAAAAATGATAAAAGAAATAAATATATACATATAAAGAAAGTTTCAAGAACATCCCTCTTGAGACGCAACGACACCAACCAGAAAGCAAGGTAGCAGCGACAACAATTGAGAAGTGAGATGGGATGTTGAGCGATGGCTGCACTACTCTAGAGTCAAAACGGAGTGCTGCGTGACATGGATGTGTCGCACTCGATTGTGCTCTAATATTAATTAATCTATTCGCTAAATTATTGTTTTAAGGGGTAGGAGCAACAATAAAGGAAAAATTAATTTGAACTTAAAATTTCATTAAGAGGAAATGAAAGAACTTAGTACGTATTAATCATGTATTAGTGAGCTAATTAATTAAATAGGTTTGAATTGTTTGATATTAATTTGTAAATTTTAAAGAATTTTAAAATGGGAGTAAATGAATTTCCCAGTTTAGAATAATGACAAGAAGCCATGGAAGTTGCCAATATTAAATATGGCTGTTTTTTTATTACCACTACCCTAAAATTAAATAAGAAATCAGAATATTGAAAGTGTTACAGCTTGAATGTATAATAAATAAATAAATATAATGGAGAAAAATAAAAATGAATAAGAATATTAAATACATGCACATCAAATTAGTGCATGAAATTAATATTCAATAAATGTGTGACCCCAACCACATACTCACTTCCTGCCACTTTGCTTCTGATAGGTCGTTACCAATGCTCCAATGATGTTATTTTCTCAACTTTTATTTTTATTATATAATAAATCTGCCAATATCTAATAGCGGTAGACTTAGATTGTTACAAATGGAAACAAGAAACAGTATGCCAACGAGGACGCTTGGTCTCAAAGGGGTGGATTGGGATGGATTATGAGATCCCACATCGGTTGGAGAGGAGAACCAAACATTCCTTATAAAGGTGTGAAAACCTCTCGTAAATAAACGTGTTTAAAAATCATGAAACTGAAGACCAAAACAGACCATATATACTAGCAGTGACCCTGAGCTAAATAATGCACCTTGTTAGTATAAGTACCAAGGATCAGATGTTATTGGTTCATTCATGTTTTTCTCTTTTACTCGGACATCAAACAAAAATTTTGATAATGATTTCAATGTTTTCGAGATTGAAATAAAGAGTATGCAAAAAAAAGTAAATGCATAGAATTCATAAAATTGATTGAATGCTAGAAATTCAAAGCCCCATCAACTCTTAAACTTGGAATTTCATTATTGAGACCAATCCCCATTGAATGTATGTGAAGTGCATTTAGTACCACACTTACAGACCAGGCATAATATCAAAAGAAATTATTGTACCACATATATATATATATATATATATATATGCATATGATTCGTACTCGCAATAGTTAGTTTGTAGTACTAAGAAAGCATTGAATATAAGAATGGTCTAAGTTTTAGTGATGTCAAGGTGTGAAAGAGGGCAATGGATGTTTCAAGATAGCGGCACCAGTTCTAAAGCCACAGCATGAACTAGATGAATCAAACCCAGGAATCACAGATAAGAAACTAGAATAGGGAAGGAATTCACACAGTAGCATCTACAATGACGCTTGTATTTGATATATAATATCAGTGATGGATAGAGTCATGAAGCTAGATTACTGATTACTGAGCATAAATAGAACCTGCAAACATCAAGTATGGTGGTTAGTACCATGGGATCTAATCATCTAACAACGGCTGCTGGTCGAGCACTGTTAGAAGCTCAGTCATGGGCGTCACCATGCTATTCTCTGCCTCGTGTTCGCCCCTGCACTGGAGTAACTGTGTTCTAAGGCTCTGCACCAGCTCATTCAATCTCCGGATATTTCTCTCCTGGGAAAGGATAATCTACAGTAGCATTCAAAGAATTTTAGCATTATATTAACAGATCATAATAGAAACCAGGAAAAACATTGTATATCAGTCAAAGAAGCGCAGCAGTATAAGGATGAACAAGAGCTCTAAAAGAAGCAGAAACAACAAATAATCATATTGTCTGATTTAGGTATAGCTTTTGGTTCCATCCAAAAGATCTCATACCAATGAAGTTATTATTTCTAACTGATATACCCATGATGTTCCTCTTCTTTGTTGCAACTACCATCCTGTTGCCTGCACTACCGACGCCCTTTGCCATGTCGCCGCCTCCACCACTTCTCTCTGCCACTGTTGCTACTTTTCTCCGCCCACTGTAAGTGTTTTTCTCCATCTTTCCTCTTTCTTTCTCCCTCTTTTTTTTTTTTTTCTCTGCTCACTATAAGCGTTTTTTAGTCTCTCTAATTTGGCTTTTCTTTGAAGCCTACTTCAAAGAAAGGAAGGGAAAGCTCATCATTGTTTCCAACAGTGTTTACATCTTCTCCGATTTCTCTGTTCATTGAGTTCTTACGCAATCATCAAAGCAACAAAATCGTAATCGCTTGATTAATTTGCTTTGTTTTTAGCTTCCCAAGTTTTTTATTGCATAATCTGTTTGGTTATTGGGAGATTATGGAAATTCTGTGGATTTGGTTTTTTTTATTTCCTTTCAGTTTCGAGGCTCTTTGAGAGATTATAACAGTATACGATTTTGAATATCTATCATTAGCATTGCTAGCTTACAGACTTCAGAAGCCAGATTAGTGTTCGTTATAAGTGGGATGAGATAAGAAATTATTGGAAACCAAGGTAGCTAGGTAATAACTTTCATTTCCTTTAAGCCTTTCTTAGTCATCTTATCCTTAGAATTACTCTCATTCGGATGTGGTCTCGGTTCATTCATATACCCCTCCTTTACTCGGGTGTCACAACAATGGAACCTTTCACCTATTACTAAAGTTAATGTTGAAGAGAAGTTGTGCCACCGGCATAAACACACTCCTATATGCAATACAAGGAAATATGATGAAATGGTTGGCACATGAGACTCGATGATCATTTTATAGAGAGAACTTGAATATCATTTTAGTGAATCTTCTGGTCTATCATACTATAAAATCTCCAAATGGTGTTCCATTGATAAAACTGGCAGGCCTCAGATACCAAAATCACACACAAGGAAGGAACACCCTAGCGCTTTGAGAGACCAGGAACACTCCCTTTTATACTGAATTCTAAGCCAAAATACTAGAATGTTCACATGTCCAGCAATTGTGCTCCCCACAGAAGATATTCTCCCCTTCCATGTCCTATTGCCGTGTCCAATGGGGGAACAAATACTACGTACTCACACATCCTCTAACAGCCCAAGCCCACCGCTAGTAGATATTGTCCTCTTTGGATTTTCCCTTCCGGGCTTTCCCTCAAGGTTTTAAAATGCGTCGGTTACGAAGAGATTTTCACACCCTTATAAGGAATGATTCGTTCTCCTCTCCAACTGATGTGGGATCTCACAATCTACCCTTCTTGGGGCCTAGCATCCTTGTTGGCACACTGCTAGTATATATTGTCCGCTTTAGCCCATTACGTATCGCCGTCTCCCTAGTAGACGTGTTTTAAAATCGTGAAGCTGACGACGATATGTAACTGGCCAAAGCGGACAATATCTGCTAACGGTAGGTTTGGACTATTGCATACCGTAACTAACCATCAAAATTTTCCTACTTTTGGATGCATCTCAAGTGTAGGAGTTCTACAAATCCAGAGGATTCGATAAATAAGAGATACATAAAATCTAAACAGCTGAACACATACGAGTGATTTGGCAAACTTATGGGAAAAAAAGAGATAGATAACTGGAATTTCACCTTTTCTTTTACAGCTTCCTCTCTATCAGACACATGTGGTTCACTCTGTGTAGCGTTTGGACCTGCTTCAAGCTCGTTCTCATACTGTTGCCTCCACTCAAATTGCGATGAGAACACGATCAATAACAGCAGACAGACAAGAACCCAAGGTCTGGACATAATTACAACCAAGTTTTATGTAGTGCTATCCTGCTTTCCAAAAGGCAATAACAATCAAATTTTCAGTCCTAACCCAATATCTACATATATGTGACTGTTCATCAATATAACTTGATGATTATCAGTAAATTAATGAACTGAACTTGATATATTCTCAAACAATTGACTAAGAAACAACAGTTGAAAATAGACTTGAGATAAACAGAATCAAGTAACTAAGAACATAACCAAGTTCAATTACGTTCCTAGTAGCTCTAATCAGATTAACTTCCGCAATGTTCTTCATCAAATTAAAGACGGATGGGTTTTTCCCCAAATTCAAGACTTAGATTCTACAGAAACACAAAAATTGAAAGTTCCATATGAAAAAACTGCAGATTTTGTGAATGGTTTCAAGTGTTCGAAGGAATTGCATTTCCCCCTTCGCTTCTCCATCTCTTTCAGCTAATTATAATTCAATAAAACGCAAAATAAAGACGAATAGTTTAATTTTCTCACCTACCAAACACAGCCTGAGAATCGACCGAAACCCAGGAATACGAGCAGAAATCTTTCTCCAAATTACCATCTACTATAGCGTCCAGACCAGATTATGAACAACTGAGAAAAGCTCAAAACGCCAATCCCTCAAAAACATCAAAAGCCAAAAATGGGAAAGGATCGATATGCAAAAGAAATTTGGAAAAGATATTGAAGAGTTAGAAGCGAAAAAGAAACCCACTGATCGAACAGCGCATCTAAGTTTAGTTGGAATCTGATTCCTTCGAGCTGAAGGTGTGAACCGCGTCGCATTCACCTCCACCATAATCAACGAATCTCATTTTGTATGTAAATGGTTAAATAATAATCACTCGTTTAATCTGAAAATTACACGCTTGTGGTTTATTTTTATTTTTTTCTTTCCATAAAATAAATAAATATATTTTCTTTAAGAAGAAGTTTTGGGTCAAAGTTCCAAATGTTATTATTTGGGTTACATTTTGTTGTGGTACGAAATGCCTAATTTCACGCCTGAAAGCAGAGCTATAAATCTCTGAGAGAATCAAGGAGAAAGAATCAAAGAAACGTAGCAATCTTCTGACCTTTGTAAATGGGCAACGCTCAATCGCCTCAAACGAATTCCCGCTTCATTACAGCTTCCAGGTTTTTCTCTCTTTGCTCTCTCCACCCGTTCATAGATTCTAATGCGTCGAGTTTTTGATCGAATTCAACGATCGCTGCAGAGCTTTTACTCAGAATGAGCTCGAAGATCTCAAGTCGCTGTTCTTCTCCCTCGCCGCTCAATCAAATAGCAGTGGGAAATTCGTATCGCCCTCTGTTTTCGAAGTCAGTTAGTTTGTGTTTTCTCCATTGCCGATATGGTTGATTTCTGATTTTTCTCTTCACTGATTGTCTTGGGTTTTGTTGTTTGCAGACGTTTTTTGGACTGCGTGGTCCTCTTGGAGAAAGATTGTTCGATTTAGTGACACAGAAGCGCAAGGATCAGAAGCTTACTTATGAAGACCTCGTTATAGCTAAAGTAAGCCATTTTGGGGTTTCCCTGTTCTTCAAATTCAGTGTGTATTCTGAACACTATGTCTCGTCAATATCGTAGTTCTGGTTTGTTTGTTATTATTATTTTGATGAGATAATTTAGTTCTCTAAGCTCATAGCATGGTAGGCGATTCTTGAATTTCATGGCTGACTCTGGAGTATTTCATTCTTCTTTTCATCGGATTTTCCTTTCTTTGTTTGTTCGTTGCCATGGTCTTGCTTGTGAGGAGACATTATTACATTACGAATGAGGGGAGGTATTCCACTTTACAAGTGAGGAGGGGCAAGTCTAATACCTCAGTTAACTTTTGTCTTGTAATACCTCACTTAACTTTTGTCTTGTAACAGTCTAAGTAGCAGATATTGTCCTCTTTCAACTTTCCCTTCCTATATTTTACTCAAAGTTTTGATACATGCATATGCTAGGGAGAGGTTTCCACATGCTTATAAAGAGTCCCACGGCTAGCAAATATTGTCTTCTTTGGGATTTCCCTTTATAAAGAGTCCACGGGTAGCAGATATTGTCCTCTTTGGGGTTTCCTCTTATAAAGAGTCCACTGCTAGCAGCTATTGTTCTCTTTAGGGTTTCCCCTTATAAAGAGTCTACGGCTAGCCGATCCTCTTTGGGGTTTCTCCTTATAAAGAGTCCCAATGCTAGCAGATATTGTCCTCTTTAGGGTTTCTCCCTTATAAGAGTCCACTGCTAGCAGATATTGTCCCATTTGGGGTTTCCCCTTATAAAGAGTCCCACGACATATATTGTCCTCTTTGGACTTTCCCTTTCAGGATTTCACTCAAAGTTTTAATACGCCTTAACACACCTCTAAAGAGAGGTTTCCACATGCTTATAAAGAGTGTTTTGTTCCACTCTCTAACCGATAGGATCTCATAATCCTACCCTTTCAAGTCCCAGCGTCCTCGTTGGCACACTGCCTGGTGTCCAACCCCCTTTGGGGTTCAGCCTCCTCGCTGACACATCGCCCAATGTCTGGCTCTGATACCATTTGTAATAGCCCAAGCCCCAAGACTACTTTGTTCTTCTCTCCAACCAACATGGGATCTCACATTTTTTGTTTTTTTTTTTTTTTGTAACTCAACAACTGTGGGGGTGGGAAGATTCAAAACTTTGACCCCTTGATCTAAAGTATATGCCTCAACTAGTAGAGTTATGCTAAAGTTAACATCAAACCGCCCCAGTTTTTGTGTTTGATTTATTTAAAACCAACATCAAACGTCTGGAACACCTGGCAAAGATATGAGCACAAACCTTTTCTGATGCTGTTACCCAACGTTTGGAGAACCTGGTTGATATTAACCAAAAAAATATCAATCATATAATATACTTCAATGAAGATGTGAAAAAAAGGTTGTCAAAATTATCAAAAGATGTTTCAATTCATGCCACATTGAAGAAGAATGAAGTTTGATTGTTATAAATTTTGGGTGGGTTACAATTTAAAGTAATTTAGAGTTTTTAGGACTTTTTATTTACTTTAGGTTACAATTACATAATGGTTAATTATGACCATTAAGTATGGATGTTACAACTCTTGAATGCTTTTAGTAGTTTCATTTTGAGGCTATATAAAGCCATGTATGTTGTATTTGTAAGAGACTTGAAAAATATAGTAAAAGGAGCATTTGTGCTTTCTTCAGCCAATGACTAAGTTTCTTTACAATTCTATGTAGTTTAGGTTGCATGTAGAATCATTCAAGCTCGACATGATCAATCTTGCTTGTGGAATGATTCGAATCTCAAACAAGTGTTCTTGCATTGAGATATTTGATCAACAAGAATCATTCAAGCTAGACATGATCGATCTTGCTTGTGGAGTGATTCGAATCTCAAACAAGTGTTCTTGCCTTGAGATATTCGATCAACAAGGTAATCCGAATCTTACTCCCCTTGTAGAGGTTCCTTATCTTATCATCTAAAGTAAATGCCTCAATTAGTAGAGTTATGCTAAAGTTAACATAAAACCGCCCCAGTTTTTGTGTTTGATTTATTTAAAACCAACATCAAACGTCTGGAACGCCTGGGAAAGATATGAGCACAAACCTTTTCTGATGCTGTTACCCAACGTTTGGAGAACCTGGTGTTTGGTCATTCATCATCATTTATCTTTTGAAACCCATCAAATATTCTTAATTCTAGTTGTGATGATTGTTATTATTATTTCATCATTTGCATTGAAGGGCACTTATGAGAAGGGAACAAATGAAGAAATTGAAGAGTTCATTTATCAGTTATTAGATGTGTCAGGTGATGGTGCCCTTGGGAGGTAATATTTTCTTCTTTCGATGATCAACTTCTAATAACAAAGGCTACTGGTTCTATGACCCACCAAATCCCAACAATTAGCTTTCTGTTTCAAAATCTGATTGGACATGAACTATTATGTGCCTTCTTTGCTTTCATGCCAATGCCAGGTCTGATCTGGAGTCGGTTCTAGTAGAAATTTTAACTTATGTATTCTCCTCAACAAATAATGAAACTGGATTCGATTCGCATCAGGACGCAGTACAAATATTTATTCATGCAGCAACTTTCTCAGAGAACGGTGAACGATTTACTTATGAAGATTTCAAACACTGGTGTACTCTGCTTCCATCTGTTAGGAAGTTTCTTGGAAGCTTGTTGATGCCACCAGAAGTAGGTATTTGATTATCTTTCCATCAATCTCAGTCCAGTACAACTTAGATTTAAGTTTTTTAGTACAATAAGTTCGTTGGAGTTTGATTATGATTTTCTCGAACTTCTTAACTGATCCTGTGTTTTACTTCATGCATGATTTTGCTTGATTCTGGTTAGGTTTTAATACATTCATTCCAAATTCTGTTCATTATCTACAATATATAGCATTCTTACATTTGAGTTCCTTTTGTTCACGGGAAATCTACAAATCTCAAAATGAACAGTCATGTGCAATTTTGATTCCATTCAATGTAAATTTTTCCATCATTGTCATTGTACTAGATTTATAATTGTTTGTCTTTAAAGATAGTTGTAACAGCACAAGCTTCGTTCCCACTCCGTCCGGTGATGTGGGGGGGCCAGCATCCTGCTAGCACACCACCCGGTGACTGGCTCTGATACCATTTATAATGGTCAAACCCACCCCTAACAAATATTGTTCTCTCTGGACTTTTCCTTTCGGGCTTTTCCTCAAGGTTTTCAAAACGCGTCTGTTAGAGAGAGGTTTCCACACCCTTATAAGGAATGCTACGTTCTCCTTGGGATCTCATAGTAGTAGTCTTCTTCCCTTGGTTTTCTAGGTCTAGAACTGGCCATTCCATTATCTTGTTATCTTTGCTTTAAACACTTCACCATTCGACTCAAGTTGCAAGCCACATCAATGGCGGACTAGATATTGAAACGTGAAAGAAAGGTTATATAATCTTTTGCATTTTTATGGTGGCTGTGTAGGGAGACCTGGTTGTCAAGTTCCAAGGCTGGTCTATGGGGCAAACATAGATTCTCATCTTGTGTTATTGAAGAAGGAATATGCTTGGCATATAGGAGGAGCTCTTCCTCAGCATGAGCTGGAGGAGTGGAGACTACTTTACCATAGTTCAATAAATGGGCTGAGTTTCACTACATTTTTGGGTAACACAACGTAAGTTCATTCACTTATTTGTTTGTTTGTTTCTCTTACTGGAATCACTTAAGAAAGAAAGCACACCATCAAGCTTCTTTTATGGGTTTAGTGAAGCTCGAGTAGCTTAAACTTTTGGGTTTAGTGAAGCTCGAGTCAAACAGAAATACATGCTCGTAGAGCGGGTCTTAACTTCCTTGTTTTAAGGAGAACGTGCAGTAACGATGGAGGACCAACGGTGCTGATAGTGAAAGATAAAGAAGGTTATATATATGGAGGATATGCTTCTCAGGCATGGGAGAGGCATGGTGATTTCTATGGAGATCTGAAATCATTTCTATTTCAGCTGTATCCAAAGGCATCCATATACAAACCAACTGGAGCTAACAATAACTTACAATGGGTAACTTCTCCACTTGCCTTCTAATTTTCTTCCATCTCTCTCGATCAGAGTTCTCACTAGTCTTCTTTTTTGACAGTGCGCTGTAAATTTCAGTTCAGATAGTATACCGAACGGCATTGGGTTTGGAGGACGAGCGAACCACTTCGGTCTGTTTGTGTCGGCAAGCTTCGATCAGGGTCACACGTTCACATGTACAACATTTGGGAGCCCGTGTCTGTCGAAGACGAACCGAGTAGAGCTGGAAGTGATAGAATGCTGGGGAGTAGGAGGAGAAGAAAAGGGGAGTGGTAGCCATAACAATAATGGAGTGAAGGGTAGTGTGTTGGAGAGGTTTAAAGAGGATCGCAATATGCTCAAAATGGTTGGGCTTGCCAATTCCAGTGAATGATCATGCATTTTGACGTTTATTGTGTAGTGTTTGGTATATATTACAGATTTTGCTGATTTTATTTTTATGTAATATTATTATACATAGATATTATATTGTTATGAAATTATTTGATTTCTTTTATAGGAAAATAACAAATAGAATTTCTATTTGTTGAAGGTTTGGTGTCATGGTCATGGGTTTGGAATGTTTCAGTCATAAAGAAGTACATGGCTGCATATCCGTATGGTTATGCTTCGGGGATTAAAATGCCCAAAATATATGATAAGAGACCTGAGTAGTTATCAATTATTTCAATTTAAAGTATATGTTATTAAAGTATTTATTCTACATTGTTTTTGTCATAAGCATATGAACAAAATATGAACCCCTTACATACATGTCAATATATATATGAACATGCATAAGTAAACTTTGGAAATTATGCCAATTTGATCTAAACTTAATTTTATTAAATATAGTGAATTTGATGAAACAAAGAATACTTGAAGAAATACAAGCAATGAAAAGGGTTAAAATATGAAGAAGAGCTATAATTTAAAAAAGGAAACAGTTGTGATAATTTTAGGTAGGTGACCTCAACCTATTCCCTTGAGCTCTTTATTAATTATGCTAAATTTCATCTTTCTAATTTATGAACTCCAACAAACAAAGATTTAAATAAACAACATACGAATCAACCGAGCCAGACCCAGAAGAAACAAAATCTCTCTATTGAATTTGATAATTCGAAATTAATATGTAAATTCCATAACCTTTAGCATACCAGAAACTAACCATCCTCATAAACAAAACTGTATTGAGCCTCAACCGAAAATGAGATTAAAAAATAAAAATCAAAACCCTAGCCAATAATCTCAGTACCTCCCACCGCGACCGCCCAATCCAAACGCAACCTGCTGCGGCACAGTCCGATCGACCTGAACAATCCCCGGAATATCGGTCATTCCAAGAGCAGAAAGCATATCGAGAGTCTCCCTATCGACCTCGATTTGATCGGTTTTAATGGCGGAGACATCAGGGACGAAGTCCATTCGGCGCTCGCGCTCTTCCTCTTGAAGCTTCAGAGAAATGCCGCGAACAGGTCCCTTTTGGATCCGCTTCATGAGGTGAGTGGAGAATCCGGCTATCTTGTTTCGGAGTCTCTTAGAGGGGATAATGGCGACCTCTTCCAGAATCTTCTTGTTCGTATGGAAGTCCAGAGTCATGCGCGAGTAGTAGCGCTCGATGACTTGACGGGAAGATTTCTTCACTGTTTTGGTGCGAACGCGTCCCATGTTTCTGCCGGGGAAATCGTCCGCAGGGGCCGGTGAGTGGAGGCGCCGGTGAAAAAAAACACGGCGAAACGGAGTGCAGAACTTTACCTAGAAAGTAGAATAATTGGTTTTGGGGATTTATATAGGATTTCTCAAGGAAGGTCTTGGGCTTGAAGATTTAAATTTCGCGGGCCGAATGGATTCTTATGGGCCCATAATTCAAACGTAAAATAAAACTCATCCAATTTTTTAATTCCAGATGAATGCATTTCAGTAATTTGGCCATGCGCAGCTAGATACCTTCCAAGTAACCATGGATCATTTTCCAGATACTTATGAATTTCCATCTTCCTCTTTAATGAGGTTTCGCACCAATTTATCGATGGAACACAAATTTAGAGCAGCAAATGCTTGGAATGGTGTAATATAAGTGAGCAATTCTCTTGCAGGAATGAAGGCGAGGATCGTTTTGGGGAAGGTTTATAATTACATTCGGTATGATTTGAAGCAAATTGCATTTCCTTCGTCGTTGCCAGATCCTCCGCAGCTTCGAAAGCCTACATAGCATGAACGATTATTGGTAGATTCTTATTCTTTGATGATCTCGTTTTCTTTTGTTGGCTTTGCTGCTGTTTTTATTTCTTCTGCAATTCTTTAGTTAAGGATTGATAAGTTGCAATCAGTGATTGAAAGTTAAAGAGTTAATTGCTAGGAGATCGACTTACGTATAGTTAACTCGATTGCTAATTGAATGTTTGCTTGTTATTTAATTGCTCATTGAAAATTTGATTCTGCAACAAAAAGTCTAAGGATAATAAACACTCGACACTGGAAGACCTTGGTAACCGACCTTTGTGTTATAGTTTGATTCGAATGCTCTAGATTGAAGTGAAATATTCGCCAATTCTTGTTATCAGATATTCGAATGCTCTAATTGATTCTTACTTGAACATGATTTTCAGTGCAATTGTGATTGGTGTGTTTTGTCTACTGATTTCTGGTTCCTGATCAAACAAATCTGTTGATGCGTAAGATAAAATTGCTTCAAGTTCAAATGCCCAATATTGATAAAATTTCCTTAATATCTAATGCTTGTGGAAATAATAGTGATAGGTATTCCCGGTTTTGTAACTCTTGTCAAGCCTTCCTTGCTACCAATGGAAAAAGTTGAAGATGTGTGAACAGAATGGTCATAGATAGCAGTGTTCTAAGAGAAGGTTCTAGTCATTGTTTTGTGGTTAATCTTTGCTCCCCCTGTTTTAAAGTTCGAAACGAGAGAGATTTTCTTGCAACTAGATTATGATATCTATAAATTTATTTCTGTATCCTATTTTAATTAGATTTAACACTCATCTTACGGCTGATGATGTTAATAAGATATCCAACTATAAATTCTCAGGATAGAAGTAGCTGCCAATAACATCACTGATCGAACTATGTTGTGTGGTATTGATTCATTCATTTGACTAAATTCTACTCTTCAGATTAAGCTTGTGGGATTGTGACTTACGCTTGTCTCAAATGATCTCTCCCTTTGTTTTGAAACGCACTTTCACTCTTTGATTTAACTTTACAATAAATATAAGACATGCTTATATTTGGTAATTGGAAATCTTACCATAGTCTCCTATCAGGAGGGAGAAAAGGTTCTAGAATTCTTGATTATGGGATATCGATGTTTTCGACTAGGAGTTCTAGATGATTCCTACTTGTCGATGCTAATCATTTATTATAACAGGAAGTTATTTTCTTACACAAAAGTGAGGTCAAACAAACAAAGGAACAAAAAGGAGCCAAAGTTCAAGTGGAAAATAGAATAGCAAAGGAGACTAGAAGTAATATCACCCGATTATCAGAAATTAAACAGGGGTGTATCTCATAAAAGAAAAGGCTAGAAGTCCAAAATGAGGTGCACAAGTCCTCGTAGATCCTCTTATTCTTCTCGTGCCAAATACTTGCGCATGTTATACAAGCAACTATCAAGCCAAAGAAATATTCCCTTTACCACAAACAGAGGACTCAGAATAACCTGCAACAATCTCTATAGTCTTGATTATGCGTAATGCTTAACTTAAAGTTTACTAGAATCTATTTTATGTTTGTGTCAAAAACAAATAATGCCAAAAAAATATGAATCCAATCCACAATTGTACACCATTGAGGTGAAAGGTGAAAGGAAACAGACCATTAGATAACGTCAATTTCAGTGGTGTCAATTCTCTCCAGAGTCACTCATTAAGCAAAAATCCTTATCTCTTACAGAATGTCTACATTTAAAGCTTAGTATAGAAATAAGAGTTTGGTTTTAAAAAAAGAGTTTCTCAGAACAACTTTCAGCACAATTATTATGCATAATCATTTGAAAAGTTCAACGTGAGAATATGGTTCATTGTATAACTTGAACGCAAGATGGGAAAATTGAGTTTCAATTTTGAGAATTAGACCTGTAATGGAGATTGAAAGTTTGAAACTGAAAACCAATGGTTATCCCTCAGATTGGTTTAACTGAGTTGAGATGCATTGGTGATTAACCTCGATGACGTGTCCTTTTTTTTTTTCTTCTTTTCATTTTAGACTATATTGTGTGTGGTCCGTGATGTATTAAAGTTGAGTTTGTGCATAAAAATTGAGGTCTTATCATGGTCCACCACTCTAATAGGAGAACCGTCGGTTTCTTTAAGTTAATCATGAACTTTAAGTTCCCTTATTCTGTTATCTTTTCTTTATCTCCCACTTGGGTGCATCTTCTGTTGCAATGAAAGTTTTCTCTTCTACTTTCAACCTGGTATTTATTGAATTCAATATTCCTGATAAGATTGCCCATTTTTCCTTTGTTGCAAAAACAAAAATCCAGCTGTGGCTGCAAGAAGAGGAATGGAGACATTAAAACCAACTTTGCAGCGGGTTTATATGACTAGAGCTTCTGCATATAGAGAAGCAATTTTATAGATGGGTATCAAGAAGGTATTCAGCAAGTCATGGAGAAGAAGAAAGTTTCTGATTCTCAATCGGGAAGCGATAAAATCAAATATAAATTTCTGATCCTATTTATGCTTCATGTTTAAAGGATTGGGCAGTTCAGTTTGCAGTTGTAAAAATTGTTTGAGTTGAGATAAAATTTTATCTCCGGAGGTGCTATTTGATATATGTACAGTTTTGAGAATCTCATAATATAAACTACAAACACACAGTCATTAGAAGGATGGCAATTGTCAGTTATTTTAATTTGTAAGGTCTGGTTTACAATTGATCTCAAGTTGGATAAGTTTTCCTCAACGCTTCAGGTGTGAATTGTACATTGCAGCCGGCCCCTACATTCACATTAAGACCACTCAAGCTTTTTAATCATGTCATGAGGTATCTGCATGGTGGATTGAATGTCCGGTACAACCATAACTCTATGATTTGACAAGAAAACGTTGGACGCTGATTTTGCAAATTGAGAAAGAAATGTAGTGGCATAGTTAGGTCATAAGATGCTGTGAAGATGCTCAAAGTACACTTTATTGTGGTTAGATGGAAGGCTGAAAATGACTGGCGTTACAGGGATTGAAGGGCCCATTTAGAATTGGGTCGAGCTTCCAATGTTCGAGCTACCATCTGACTTTTCCAGCGGAGCCGGAATTGTTGAAAACTAATGAGGTACCGATTGTTCCATCTTTTTATGCTCTTCGATTGTAGAAAGAAAGTAATAGTGGGGTTGCTCAATATCGTGTCTACTGTCTAGGTTCATGCTTGGCATTGCTTCTAATATTTTCAAGCACATGGTTCTTGCTTTCAAGTCTTATTTTTATAATAGGTTAAAAGTCCTTTTTTGGATAGAATAACCAGGTGATTTGCCTAAAGATAAATTGACTTCATTTATATGATTTTTTTTTTTTCCTCGAGTCATTTCTGTTAAGAGAATTGATTATGGTAGCATGAGCTTAACATCCTTATTGTCTTGGCTCATCTCAGTGTATAATTTGAAGAGTTTGTTCAAGAAGTATGATAGATCCTGATAAAGAATCGAGCGACTCTTATCTTTATCAACTAATGATTGTTTGGCGTCGTAGTTTCACAGAAACTTATGCAGGCATTGAAACCAATTACCATCGGTGAGTACCGATATCGACTAATTTTGGTGTTGTTGCTTGTTTCTGCTTGAGTCACGAAAGTATTTTTAATGCACTATTGGGTGAAGTTTGCTGGGTCAGAAATATTCAAAAGCAAATCAACTGATTGATGAAAAGATAAGTGGAATGAACCGTGGACGAATTCTCTCTTGCTGTTACTATATATGTACTGTACTTAGTCATGCATAATTGAATTATGCTTGCCAAACATATCCCTTAGTAGGAGTCCTTTCATTCCTTCGATTAGCAATTTCTTCGGTGCCAATGATAGCTTGCACACATATCTGGGGACCCCCTACTTTCAAAGCCACTGATGAAGATTGGAAAATCATCAACCAGGAAGGTCAATGGTTATCTCTCCTGTCTGCACATTTATGGGCCCCGCAAGCAAGATTTCCTAACTCACCTTTTCATCATTCCCACAGGTAATAATACGCTGATTTTCTGTTTAATTCAGCCACTAGTTGATGATATATTTCTTATAATAATTCTGCAAGCTGTACTGAACATTTGCACCACATTTTCGATGTATGTAGACAGGACACGATACCATGCTAATCATCAATGCACTATCTCATTACTTACTTTTCCCCAAAAAGTAAATGATTTTAAATAAAGAAAAGGGCTTATATATACGTTTTGTCTAACCAATTCATAGACACATCACCTTTTTACTGTGCTGTGTTTTCATTTGTCCTATAGGCTACACCACAAATATAGAGATGAAATGTAACAAACAATATGTCAGCATACTATACATTTTATAATCCTGATTGGTACCGTGTTGATTGCTAATGGACTAGTTGGTTTCTTTGAAGTTATATGGATAGCATGTTGAAAAGAAACATATTCTCTGTTTGAAAATATGATAATAAGAACTCCACAATGAAGGTTAAACCAATTACAGTAGAGTGAGATGCAGTGGAACTAAAGTTTTCTTCTTTTTTATATGTTGCTGGAACGTACTTGACCTGAAATCTGATAGGTTTCTTCCTGAAATCAATGGCTGGGGCACTGCATACTTTATCGAAATATAGCCATGGAATAGATAGCCAGGGGAATTTGGACGCTCATTCAGGGTGACTTTGGTCTAGTATTTCAGTGTGTAGTCTTTTCAATTGAACAATACTTCTAAATCATATAACCAAACATAATAGTATTTTTAACCTTTTGTTTTCAATACTTCATCTGTAGCTTCATAAATATGTATGTAGATTTTATCAGTGATTTCTTTTTTGTCGCAGAAAAGGCATGTTCATCAAACAAAGTTCAATTTGTAGGGTAAGAAAGCATGGATTTTCTTTTAGATGTCCTTTCATCCAAAACTAATCTCAATTTCATTTCAGAATTGAATACAGGAATAGGCATGGCATGAAATTAACAACCTCTTGAGCAGCAGTTCAGATCAGGCGGATTCACATAAAAAAATGGTTGAAAGGACACGACAATTGAGAGGCAAATCTTAATAATAAATAAGGTAAGAAACAAAGGTTAGATTTTGCTAGAACTTATAAAAGAGTAATAGTAGCTGTTTCCGATCCATCCAATCCCACCTACTCAAATAAAGTGGCACTGGCACTGGCACAGCTTCTTCCCCCCTTTTCCTCCGCTCATATTTTGAGTCTCTCTAAAAAAAATCTTGAGCCAGAATGTCAAATAGATTCTTCATTCCTGGCCTTCAACGACCCTAGTTTCCAATTTACATGTATGACGTAAGCCCTAGGTAGCTTTCTTCTTCCTGGACCCCACTTTTCCTCTCTCCTCATCCCCCCCACCCCACCCCTGACCTTGGAAAGTCGGCCAGAAAACCTGGGATTTATTTCTCTATCTATTTTCCCATATTTTATTTAGTGGGGATGACTCTTCCCAAGTGTAGTGGGAAAAAGTGTGTTTTGCATTACAGGGACGTCACATCCACACATCTCTATACTTCATATTTCGCCTGCTTGATATCTTGTGGGAAAGTGGAATCCTGTTACAACCTCATCTTAGAACTCCCATAAAATGACACACCCGTTACAGTAAAATATAAATATGTGTGTTTGTGTAGATAATCAAGCAGATTTTCCTGTGATTTGTTAGTTTCGAGAGAGAGAGAGAGGTGTTGTAGAAATAAAAACTGGAAGGGGTTGGTTGGTCCATAGTGTGTAATGCTCTGCTAAGAAGAGTTGGCTTTGAACTTTTTGTGCATATGATTTCTGTAAGTGAAGAAAGGAAGAGTGTGATATCATTTGTGCAGAGTTTTGGTCCGATATCATTTCTCTGATGCTTCTGTCCATGTACGATGTTCCCCTTACAATCTGGAAACCTACCATTTCCTCTCTCTTCCCATTTCCTTTCTCCTTTTCTTCTTCAACTCTCTCTCTAAAAAAAAAGAACTAAATTTGTAGCATCTTCTTATTCATTGATTTGGGTTTTCTTTGTTATAGACAGACTACAAAATAGTGAACTGGTTGAGCTTGTATGTATTGATCCCAGATTGCTACAATGTTTGAGGCCTAAATCATCTTTTGTGGGATTCCAAACTTTTATATTCATTTTATTTTAGCCAATATGTGACCCACATGTTATATTTCTTTTCATTTAGTTATATTTTTGTCCTTAAAATGGGTAAGCATATGACATTGAATCATATCATTAAAATGAGCAATCTTTGCAGGTACATTTCTAAATTAATTCACAGATTTTGTTGCCAAAAGAGGAGACCATTCCATTTAATAAATGCAACAATAACCCATGGCACTCCCTTTTTTTCTTTCTTTTTTTTTTTTTTCTTCCTTTCCTATCTCACTTTGACTCCATCTAATCTGTCTGATTAGATGAAACGAATTCAAGGGGGGTGGAAAAATAATAATAGTGATAATATGGAGTTGAGTTGTCATACCATGTGATGAGGAAGAGAAGAAGCATAGTGTCAGTGTGTGTAGAAGCTGTGACGGGTTGGATCTTGACCCGATAGACCCGACCCGCCACCGATAGTCGAAGGCTGTTCAGGTTCCGACACGTCGGTTTGGCACTCCAAGTCCACCCCGAACAGACGCACTATCTTTGAATTCCCAACCGACACTGTTTGACTCTGAACAGAGGACTCTGAAAACAATGCACATACACCAAGCTTTCATTTTTTAAATCCTTTTTTTTTTTTTTTTATCTAATAAAGAAATTAAAATAACATTAATTTCTGGGTAATTAATGGAAAAATTATAAATAAATAAATCATTAGCATTCTTCATGTTTTGTAATAAATAAAAGGGTGAAAATTTGACAAAAATACCTGCACGAGGACAATCAGAAGATTGGTATGGCGGTGAAGGAAGATGATTATGATGATGATGAGAAGGATATGGGTTTGAAGAACAGAAGATTCTAGTTGCCGCCGCCGTCTCCGCCGTAGACACCGGCGAGCGCCGCTTCCAGCCAATGAACAACCTATCCCCATCACGGCGGTGGCGTTCAAAGACGACGACATCACCGGCGTCAAGGCGCTTCTCTTTGACAAAGCGGGTCCACCCTTTAGTGAGCACATAGCTCTGGCTACTATTCCAATACGAGTAACGGAAGCGCCACATCTTACCGGACTCATCTTCGAAGCTAAGAAGCAAGCCCTTGTCAGCCGTGTCGCCGCCGGGGGAAAGTGGAAAATACTTTTCAGCATATTGCTTGGGGATGACGAGGCGGTTGAGCTTGCCAACGTCGCTGGGAGTCAAGGGCTTTTCGAACATGGGGTGCTTGTGGTGGTGGTGGATGAGGTGGTGGTCGACGGCGGAGGCAGAGGATTTGGGGTGGTGGAGATGGCAGTCCGAAGAGAAGTGGTTTAAGGACATTTTGGAAGACAGAGAATTTGTGGGAGTTCTTGATGTGGAGAGAGTGTTTTATTTAGATGATGTTTGGATTCAAAAGACATAAGTTGACAGTGAAAGAGAGAGAATTTTGAAAAATATGAGGAGAGAAGCATTGAGGCTTTCGCGTGATCGAATGCACCAATCATTAATTTCAGTGAACAATATTAAATTTATTATCTCACTCCTTACCATTCTCTTCCAATTTCTTTCAATTAATGAATGTGATCCTACCTCGATTAAAAAAAAGAGGAATAAAGCGTTTTAAAACTTTGAGAGAGGAATTTGAAATGGAAAGTCTAAATAGTACAATATTTATTGATTGTGGGTTTGGAATGTTACACAAATTGTGTCTTGGCGGTGTGACTTGAAGGTGTCTTATGAGATCCACATCGGTTGGAAAGGAAAACGAAGTATTTCTTGTAAGAGTGTAGAAACATCTCTTTAATGGGATGGGTTCTATCATCTCTTTAATGGACTGGACCTCAAGTGGGTGAATTATGAGATCTCACACCGGTGGAAGAGAAAAACGAATCACTTATAAAAGGTAGAAACATCTCTCTAATGAACGCATTTTAAAATCGTGAGAGACACCCAGAAAGAAAAGTCCAAAAAAAGACAGATCTTTGTAATGGACGAATTTTAAAACCACGTGAGATACCAAAAAAGAAATCTCCAAGCTTGAACGGTTACAGTGACACATAAAAGGATATGTCAAGTAACTTACTTAAAAATGGGCATACACCAAACATTATAAATTTAATGAACACTTACATAAAAGAGAGAATAGTGAAGGATATCATGAAGTTGATTGAAATTAATGTGGATATTCGAACATGAACAGAACCAAAGACAACTACAGCCATAATAATAACAATAGATTATTAGCGATGCTGTTTGGCCAAGTGGGAGACTTCTTCACCACATAAATATATAAGACTATTTCAGGTTTAGGGTTAAACAAGAATCTGCCACGTTGCCTCTGCCTTCTAAAATATTATTAAATAACATAAATTATTGTTCTTTTTTTATTTATAAAATACTAATATTTCTTACTATTAAATTAAAAAATACTGACATATTTCTTCATGGAGATGGATTCTTGGAAACCCATTTGATAGTAAGAAAATTAGGGTTTTGAGATTAAAAAGAAAAAGAAAAAGAAAAAGAAAAAGAAAAGAAAAGGATTAGGGTTTAGAGGTTTGTATGAATTGAATGGAAGAAGTCAAGGCAGATTAGTTGTGGGCTAAGGGTAATGAATCAAGATCCAATGATGATTCCACTAATCAAACATTTGGAATATAAAATTTACAACAAATTAAAATAATTAGGTTCTTATATGATGTTTTTGAGTGAGCTTAGTCAATTAATATAATAATAAACATGTTTAAATTAATCTAAATTGTCGAAGGTCTCGATCATGTTTGTCCAAAACGTATTGTACATGGTCGCATGCCCATTTCATACCCCTTTTACTTGCTTTCATGTTAGATAGGTCTTTACTATTCTTGTTATGTCAATACGGGGTATATGATTTATTACCAAAATCATGTCTACACCTGTCATGACTAAAATGCTTTATATGTACTATAAGGGGATGTGACTAATTGTTAATTTTTCCTACTCGAGTTATATGTTATCAAAGTCGTTGTTGTTTTTTCACTTTTAGTTTATAACATTGATTTTTTTTAAACTGTTTTCAATAGTTACTCACTCACGTTTTCGAAAACATTTTTCTCAAACGTAACTCGAAGATCGAGCAAACACCGATATCGTCTGCGAAATGAGGTCTATGCTTTAAAAATATTTGTGCAAAATTTCCTTACAAAAATGTAAAAATAATAATAATAAGAAGAAGAATAATAAATAAAGTAGTTTTGTTAGTTAAAATTAGTGGCGAATGGGCTATTGGATTCCTGACACGTGGTGAACAGTGGATTTGTAAGTGTTTATGATGTGGGGCTGTGATGAAGCGGGAACCATTCTGATAATTAAAGGAAAGTGAGGAACTGGTCCCATTGCATGTGACCAATTGATTTTGCACTTTTTCCCTCTTTTGTCAATTCTCAATATATTTAGAATAAAAATTTAATATATATTATTCCATATTTGATTTATGTAATTTTCACCTCTTATATATTTAGAATAAACCAAATAAAAATCAGGTTGAAATCTTTAATGAACTCCATAACCAAATTTAAATCAAATCGACGGTAGATTTGATTGGTCCTAGCACTCGTAACGAGACAAGTAGGTGTGGAGATTTGAAAGGTCTTAATTTGCATATTCATAAAGAAACTAGCTCTGGGTACGACCGGACAACTACCGATATCTCAAAATCTCCTTTCTGAGAATATTGGTTGTGATATTGATCTTACGGGGGGAACGAAGTCTTGGTTGTATATTTAATCAACAAAATGATGTGATGGATAAGACGAGATCGTTTGGAACCCGACCAAATGTGAGTGGAAGATAATAAAGGGTTTATAGGGGTAAGATGCCACAAAATTGATTTTTTTTTTTAATATAATTTTATGAAGAAAAAGAAGAAGAAGCAAAGAGAGGTTGTCCTAATCTTTGGCCTAACTTGGGAGAAAGATATGAAGAGTGATAAAAATGATAACTACTTCAAAAGTCACTTTCACAAAAGCAAATTCTTCCAAATAAGTGGTTTCGTGAAATTTAATTAATTCGTGTATTAATAGTTGTTTCATTTAGTGTCGGTTCGTTTTGCTATAGGTATCTTCATATTACGTTAAGTCGGGGAGAACAAATTATTATGAAATATCCAATATAACTAAAAGAAATATCAAAATATTTGTGGAATAAATTCTAGGGATCATAGTATAGTTGATGATTAAAATTATGAGACTAACGATAATACGTTACAAGCCAAAATTGACGATATTCGCTAATCGTAGCTTAAATTGTTATAAAAAATGGTGATGATTAGAGAGTAGATGTTGGGAAGGGTATTTTGAATGATCAATGTAAAGAACAAAATCTTAGTAGTTTTAGATTTGATTAAAAGAATGATACCTACCTAATGATTGCAATATAAAAAGTAGCCATAAAATGGGATTGAAATAGTTGACCAAATGCGTCGTTAACAAATTAAAAGTGATTTGACTCGAGTATAGTTGCTTCATGACACTTTTTTTTTTTTTTTTCCTTGTGGAATCTAAAAAAAAAAAACTTTGTTATTAATTTTGAACTGTTCTTATTTTTCTTTTCATTTTCTTGAAAAAAAGATCATTACTAAAATAGCTTAATTTAGGTGACTTTGATAGGGATATACCTATCGGGTAAACCTAAACTAGGGAACCCAAACTAGGGAATCTTCTACCAGGAGAAAGAAGAAAATATTATTAGATACCTGTCAGTTTAAACTCTATATAAGTTGCTTGAGTTATTGATGGATCCAAATGATTTCCTCGACACAATTCAATTCTTGCACACTCCTACTATTTCACAGAAAGTTGTACGTTAAGTTGGGGCCAGAAACGTAATTAAGTCATTTATAATATTGATCCATGGGTGCACCATGTCATTTGGGTATAACCTAGCACCCTCACCATCAAGTCCATCTCTGTGTATTATAAAAATACAATTATCATGTACTAAAAATACAAGAAAAAAAAATAATCCAAATTTAAAAACATAAACAATTGTAATAATAACAACTTGTTGGGAGTAAGGGATGGTGCAAAAAAAAAAAAAAAAACCCATGTTAACATACACCAAGCAAGAATATTTTTATTTACCTGGAGCGGGTTATTGAAGCCACATCAGTTTAAATTTCTCCTTCCAAATC